TTTGGACTTTAAGCTGTAGCATGACCCTATGAGCACCAACACATATGCTGCATTCTTACCTTCCTTGTTGCCATAAGGATAAAATGAGATCACAGTAATTTGTACCCTCTCTGTGTTCTATTTCCTTTTCCAAAGACAGACCCTTATTTAAATGTTGTCAGAGGCATCCTCCACTGGAAGGACTGTTCAGTTCAATTTTACTTTAAAGCTAAAGGACTGTAAGAAGCAAAGCTTAGGAACATTAATTTTGGGGGTGATTACAGCTCCCAGCATCTCAAATCCATAATTAAAAAAACAGAACAAGAATGTCTTCACACCTCAGAGGAGGTCTATAATGGAGACCAGTCATGCTGATAGGGCTCATCCATCAGGGACCACCTCACTCCAAAAAAACCCAAACCAAACAAAACCAAATAAAAAAACACAAAAACCCTCAGACTTATGAGTAAGTCCAGACTAATAGGGTCACATCAAAAATGACAAGTGGCAATAAGGAGTCCTGTGAGAATATAATCTGAAAGCATACCCTCCAACTGTCCCAGTTTGGCAGGGATAAACCCAATGAATCATCTATTCTCCCACTATTTCAGTTGCTTTTATAATGTCCCGGTTTCTCTTTCCTCCTCCCATTTCCCCCCTTTATCATCATTTTATTTCAGACTGCAAGGTGAGCTAGAATTCCCTAGCATTGAGCCAAGGCAGTTAAAGCAGTCTGAAACTGGATTATTTCTGCAGTGTGTTTTGGACCTAAAATGCAACAGTAGTTTGCATTTAACTCAGCTGGAAATAGAGGAGGCAGAATTTTGCCCTTCCCAGTAGACTCAGCAAAATGCAAACTGCTGCAACCTCTTCCAGCTTGTGTGTTCTTCATCATTCATAACCTTTGCCATCTTGACCATACTCTGATGTTGCTTGTGCTCCAATTTTTATCTGCAAATTTTTGGAGAGTATATAGAAGCTTGTGCTTTATCTCTATTTCTTAAAAAAAAATTAACAATATTATTTATTCTTCAAGACTGGTTAACCACCAATCATAGATTTAAAATAGGGATGGGTAAACGACAGCCTGTGAACTATATTTCTCCAAAGCACCCATATGCCTATGTAAACCCTCCCGTTAAAAAGGGATCCTCCCTCCCTCAAGGAGGATGGAAGACAACGGTGCCACCTTTTTGACTGCCAAAAGCTGTTGTACACCCAGTGCAGGGCATGTCTGAAAGTTCGAAGTAGTTCTAGTTTAGCAAGTGAAACAATAATAATAATAATAATAAAATTTATTTATACCCTGCCCTCTGAAATATCAATCTGGGCGGCTTACAATTAAACAAAAGCTTTGCCAGGACCTAAAACAAGTCTAGGGACAAAACTGTGGCAAAATTCCACCACCACTTTGACTGACGGTGCATGTGGCCTTTTAAAGTAAATAGCATTTTACATTTTGGGGTGGGGTGACAGGGAGGAGTGGGTGCAACCCTCTGAGATCTGGAGAAGGCATGTGTAGCCACTGCCCCTCTGGGTGTTTTTCATTCTTGCTTTATGTATAAGGTGCTCGGATTAGGCCAGTGGTTAGGTCAAGGTTTTAGTTTCCAAGAGTCCTTTCTACGCTGACATGTTTTGCTCACAAAGAATAATATGTCTGATGTCAGGCCTCGTTGGAGCTGCAAAATATTCTTCGGGGAATATTCTGGGGCATGCATCCAAATCATGCAGGATTCAGGGGGCCTTTCACATTACACAATTATAGCACTATGATTCCACTTCAAGCGCCATCATGGTGACATCCTATGGAAGCCTGGTGTCTGCAGTTGAGAAAGTAGTTCTCCACCACAAAGCTCTAGTGCCTCCCCAAATTACAGATCCCAGGCTTCCATAGAATGCAGCTATGGCAGTTAAAGTGGGATCGTAATGGTATACTTGTGAAATAGTGTGAAAGGGCTCTTCGTCAGTCTCACTGATTCCCATTGTTGCTCTGCAACCAAGGGTGGTCCTAGACTATACCCATGTGTGTTGCAGAGGAAATGTAACACAAAAGGGCAGCTATCTTTCAGGTAAAAACATCCACCACTGGTAATCTTCTAGGTAAGGAACCTTGGATAAAAAATCATAGATTTTTCCCCTGAAAAGCACTGGGCTCAGTTTCCCAGGTGTCCTTCCCAATTATTAATAGAACTATCCATCCTCAAAAGTAGATACTGACTATCTGGAACAGGTGGCAAGTTGTGTAGCAAAAAGTAGTTAAGGGAAGTGGGGTATTTTCTTCTCCAGATGAAAAAAGGTTCAAAGGCCTCCATCAGGAAAGCCTGAGGAGTTTACATATTGGATATCCTGTCTTAAGGCAGAAGACTGGATAGGAAAGCTACTCAGAACTCCCTCCTTACCGCAACCTCTTTGTGGGATGAAAACTGCATTGGCCGCACCAACAAACAAACAAAAGAGAGAGAGAGAGAGAGGATGCAGGTTTGCAAAGAATTTGCACGTGCTACTTTATATGTACCGTATACATGCAAATTTAGAAATGGTTATAATGATTTACATATTATTATAGAAATAGAAAAACAATATATTTCCTCAAAGCAACCAGGTGAGCTGTATGGATGCTGCTTTGGTCAGCTATTCAGATGGTCACAATGGATGGATAACTTGGAGGGGGAGCCCTTTTCTTATCAGATTCTGTTTAAAACTTCAGCTCTGAGAATCGCATACACAGTATGGTCAGTGACCCTAATGGATGGGGGATTATGGCAGGTTTAGTTCCAAAAAGTAACCTTTCCAAATTTTGTCCTCTGTAAAGCACCAGATTTATTGGCACATCATTCTGATACAGAGTGAGGAGCTCAGTGAAAAATCACTTCTCTTCCTAGCTCTCTGCTGAGAGATTTTTCTCTTTATTACCTGTCTTCAAGCCTGTCTATGCTATAGCTCCCTGACCCCACAGAGCAATGCAAATACGATTTTTAGGCTTATACCATTAATTTGCAGTTTAGATGCTCTAGTGTGCCCTTCCCCCAACTCCCAAGTCACACTCTCTCAGCCTCAGAAGATAGCAATGGCAAGCCTCCTTTTAATAGATCTTGCCAAGAAAACCCTGATAGGTTCACCATAGGGTCATCATTAGTCAGAAATGTCTCGAAGGCACACAACAACAAAGACAAATGCATAGTTTTCAAACTATTTTAACTGTTCTATATAGAAGTGGGGTGGATCATGCTGCAGCCCTCCAGATGTTGTTGGATTGCAATTGTAAACATTCCTTAGATTTATTCAGAGGAGGTTTGCCATTACTTTCATCTAAGATAGAGAAAGGTGACTTGCCCAAAGTCATCCAGTAGACTTCGGAGGCTGAGCAGAGATTTGAACTCTGGTCTCTTGGAGTCTTATCCCAACATTAAAACCACTACACCATACTGGCTCTCTCATCCAACAGTTACAAATGATAGATACCCGATTCTTCCTTTTGAAAAGATCAGAGCAGGATGTTTGAGGCTCTTAAACAATCTCACATCCAGACTCCAACCAGGATGAGACCTGCCTAATTTTAACAACATAAGAGTATAATGATTCTCAGACTATTCTCTGGATCCCTTGGGGTGGGATTATTTTTTTACATCCCAGAATTACTACCATGCTGGATCATGTAACTCTATAGCAAATGTGAAAATGATGTAGTCCACAAATTGTGATTATTGGGCTGCAACTCAAAGCATTCCTTGCACACTGCCTATGCTGACCAGGGCTGCTGGGACTTGCAATCCAACAACATCTGGTAGGTTGTATTATCTCCACCCCAGTACAGTACCATTCCCTTCTCTCTTTCTCAAGCAAAGAAGGAAGCAGAAAGAGACAAGATAACAGGAAAGTAGGTCCTCCTTTTGTTCGTATACCCTTACACTGGAGTGATACCATATTGGGCCGTCTTCGGCGCAGGGAAGGGGAGGGGCAGCTGCACGCTCGGCGCCCCCTCCCCCTCCCGAGGTCGTCCTCGGAGCCGCTGGCCCTCCGCACGGCTGGTGCTCCAAGGAGGACCTCCCGCTGCAGCATCTGGACATGCTGCGGCGGAAAAGTCGCCGAAAGTGCGCCGCAACCTTTTGCGGCGCACTTTCGGCGACATATGAAAGGAGCGCTATTTTAGCGCTCCTTTCCAGGGGCAACGACGGTGCGCCGCAGGATTGAGGCATGGGGATGCCTCAGTCCCGCGGTGCACCTTCCCAGGGAGGCCCACGGCCGCCCATCTGCTTAGGCCCTTTGAGCCACGTTGTTTGAGATTTCAATTCCCAGAAGTCCAAGCCAACATAGCTAATGGATAGGAATTCTGGGAGTCCAAGTCCAACAAAACACCTGGAGTACCAGAGGTTGAGAACCCATGGAAGATGCTTGCCAGAGGCATCACATGAATAAATAACAGAAAACTGTTGCTTTTAAATTGGTACAGATATTTGAGCCAGGGATTGGACAGCTGACTTGTTCACTCTTTGGTAAAGTTATTTTTTTTACTACAAGTCCCAGAATTCCCCAACCAACATGGCCAACTGTCATTCAAGTAGATAAATAGTCCACAAAAGCAACTCTTCAAACTTTGCAGAGCTTCCTAGCATTCTAATTCTGGGTCGTATCCAAAAGGGGTCTATGGCACTCAAGCAATCATTGCAGTCTCTGAGAAGATGACATTTTTCTCTGTACAAAAGATTGCATTGTGAAAAGTTGGGAAATCAGTTAAGTTTGCCACAAAAGCACTCTCCTGAGAGAAAGACATCTGGAGCCTGCGCAGCAAATGAGCAGTAATGAGGCTTTTAATATGTAAACCAGGCAAAACCAGCAACCTAAAATGCACATGGTATGGATTGTCCCTGAAGAACCTTTCCAATGTTTTTGTTTAGGGCATTTTAAGTGTATGTGAAGCATAAAGCATAGACAAGTGGGGAAAGAGCCTGCGGATTCAAATACATTGACTGCACACATATGAAAAAGTCAGGATTAGCTATCTCCCTTCTTGAAACTGCTACTGCAGAATAGGAAAGAATGCCATTATCACATGAGTTGCCTGTCACACCGTTTCATTTTCATATCCTGTCTCAAATGTAACTTGCAAGCTGTCCTTACCTCATTCTATCCGCACAACGCTGTAAAGCAGATTATGCAGAGAAGATGCATCCTATCCAAGACAACGCAATCAGACTCAAAATGCAGCAAAGACAAGAAAATGTCTTCCTCAGACCTTGGGAAAGTGACTTTTGGACTATAACTTCTAGCATCCCCAACCATTAAACTTGGCAGCTCAAGATCTGGAGAAGCTGGTAGTCTAACAAGCCACTTTCTCAAGCTCTGGTTTTTCACAGCAATAAACGTAAAACTCTGCCCACTCTGATACACCGGTTTCAGGCTTTCCATCTGTTGCAGGAATCAATAAAACATTTGCAGTGGTAAGGAGGCACAAGACTCCAGGCAATGGTTCAAGCTTTCTTCCTCATATCCCCCTGCTGCCACAACAGTGTCTGTACCAACATACCTGCTCCCTTGGGCTCCGAAACTTCTTTCAACCACCGGACCGTATGTTCAGCCGTTGTGGGTAAAGACCAACATGAAGGACGGGTAGGATGGAACCTGATAGTGAGGCAGATCTCTGTGGCAGAATGAGCAGGTTTGTCTCCTGCAACCAGTAGAAAAGTGCTTTTTACATCTCAGGTGTGTCGAGGCGCCACATACCTGTTCCTGCTGCACCTTTCCCTCTCTCTCTCTCTCTCTTTCCCCTCCTTCCTTCTCTCCCTCTCTGTATGTCAAGGTTAACTGACAACTGGGCCACTCCTGTCTAAAGTAAACAGGAGCTAACAAAGACTGAGCTGAGAGAGATCTGAATATTCATGATGAAAGAAAACTGCTCAAAGGTGCTCCAACTCAACATCATCGGACGAGAACAGGGGAGCACCTGAAGGTGCAGATTTGTGGCAGATTAAATTGCAGAAAAGCAATCAATGTTAGCCAGTTGCATGGGGGGGAAACTCGACAATGCCAACAGTTGACTACTGTGGTTAGGTATTAGTTTATTTCAGAGATACACCATATTTCCTCCAATGTATTATGCTGACTTAAAAAGGCCATGGGTAAACTATATTATATGTTCCCATATGCATGCTGTGGTACAGTGGAATGCCAGCCAAGTTAAAATTAGAGACTGGGATGACAAAGATTGCATCCTGATAACTAGGGTGTAAAACACCATCATTTCAAGTGTTGCCTAAGGCATGAAGGTGTAAACACCAAATAAAGATAATGACTTTTTTTGCAGTGAGAGAAAACTACCATGACAAGATATTCATGATACTGTATCCAGTTTATTAGGGCCATTTCACCTATGATGTTAATCACTTGATTCTTGATTACTGGCAGTCGAAAGTGTGAATCAATACCATCACCTGGGTGGAAAATGTACCTGAGATTCCTCTGCTCCTCCTGTTCATTGGTAACATTTTTCCTGGTAAAGAAGTTTGGACATCATGAAACAATCTGCAAATCTTTGTTTAATTTTGGTTGGCTTGATAAAGCTATTGGTCTAATACGAATGCAGGAATCTTCCTATGACCACTAGAGCCTTGTTTCTCCTTTTGAATCTGAGATGACATTGAACACTATAAATATTTGAATTTCTGTGGTGGTCTAACTTGTGTACCTTCACCCCTTGGAAGCAATATTTAACAAATTTCAGCTTTGAGACTGCATGTTCTAGTTGCCTGTTATTAATAATTTCCTTTATCCCCAACCAACTTTT